CGTGCAAACGGGCCGGCCTCTTCTTGCAGTCAGCTTTTGGGGGCAACCCACCGAGCACGAGCTTGTGATGCTGGATTTCGGACAGGTTAAGTGCAGATCGCGCTGGGTTTGCGCCGAGCCGCAGCCTTCAGATCCATTAGTACACACTATTGGACCCCGAACTACCCAGGCAAACCAGTTTTAGCCGCAGGACTGTTTGATATTAACTCACTTCTAGTCTCTCCGCATGCATTTAACGCATGGTTCCCGCCCTGCTGCCTGCGTCACTGTAACGTACCTTGCGCTTACATTTCATGAGATTCTGCATATGAATGGGTAGGGCAATGATTGAGAACAATCTGACTTCCCCATTCGAGACATGTCAGTCGTCCGGAATTCGCCAGGTCATGATGCCCAAAAACTAATTTCTCTCGATTCGAAAGCAGAGACGTTTCTCAGTGTCATTTCGTTACCTCGAAGATGGTTAAGAGATCATTTCGATCGATGAGATTTCCTTTGCCCTGCGTAAGACGTCCTATTCTCTAGACTACTTCCGCTTGTAGAATTTCCGCGTACTCTGTTCATGATAGATTGATCATTGTATCCTCTCTGCCAAATCAGCATGGTCGCGACAAATCCTTACGTCCGAGCTTTTTTTTGGGCCGCGTTCCGGTTCGGTCTTAAGGCCGAAAGAACGATCAGTCGAACTCGTTCTTCCGGCCAAATAAATAAAGGTTTGATTTTGCGACGGGCTCTGCCGACCTTTCTACGTCCATCTTCCCGGCCTCCTTGTCATGTGATCTATTGTGGATGTGTCTGTCAAGCACCGCACTTAGACCTTGTTCTCGACCACGTTCTTGGGCGCCCTTTAAATGACAGAATTTGAAGCCTCGCAGAAATAGTGGCGCTAGTTCACATGGTGAAGGAGTCTCTGGCTGTCGTATAGCTTCGTGAAGTTTCTCACGTGGGCAGGGCAATGAAGGTCTTCAGTCCGGCCACTTCTTTATTCCTACACAAGGTGGTCAGAAGTATAAGTCGTTTCCTGACACTGAGCCGTTTCGCCCATGGTTTTCCTTTTGAACATCGCTGAACAACTACAGTTCTGGCATAGGACCGAACTTGCGCCTTCTTGATACCTTACGACATATAGTACATGACTAGACGTGACTCGCACTAGAGACAATATATCATGTCGCCATTTTCGGCAGGCGACTCAACTCTGCAGTACCGGAATGATGCGCATAAGCTCATTCAGCAGCTCTGAAGAGGAATTCACACGGTACTTCAATCCAGTGGCAATGATTGGGCATCGCCATGGTCACCAACGTTCAAGACCGGCCAGGCAAGCTGGACGTGTTGAGCCGAGGAACATCCGGCTAGAGTAGGCATTTCAAACCCCCGATGGCCGCTTTCAATAATATGATTGAATGGAAAGCGCCAGAATGACGTACCGTCGCTTATGTTTTACCCGGCCAGAAGTGAGGCCTCGGAACTTCTGGGCAGTATCCTGTTGTCAAACAGTGAACAACGTGAGGACGGTCTGCAAAGAAACTGTTGCTCCCCGCTGGCTGGATTTGAGAGTGAGAGGCGGCGCTGGTACTCAACTGCTGGCAAGGGTTTTCCTAGTCCGTCGGCAGTTGTGCACGCAATGAAAGGAAGTGAACCGGACGGCAAATCGGCCAGTCTTTATCTTTGGGTTTTCGCAGCCCGTCTGGGTTGACGGGTTCGATAGCAGATTTGAGCAAGCGAGGAGCGCTGGACGGTTCGGATATCGAGAACGAACAAAACTAAGTGCAAATTTCGACGTCATTTGAAGGCAGTCTGTAAATGGCTGCGAGGTGCTGATCCCGCGCCGCCTTGGATTGTACGTTTATTTTAAAGAGAGGCTTCGCTTTCGTTTGCTGCCCTCTATCTTGCGCGTGCCGTACCGTCCAACTGAAGAAACCGGGTGCAGCGGATCAAACAGCTGGAGCCTCTGCACATTCTCCAGAGGATACTACCGATTTGAGAGACTTGCTACGTTAGGTAGAAAGATATTCTTGCAGGTTTTGTCGAACGAGGGATCCTGACGAGAATCTCGTTGCTCGCTTTACAGCAGGACCTTCTGGGTGAAGCACTGGAAAGTTCGATTCTCTGGCAGTTCAAAAAGCATGCAACCTTTGCTTCAGATGCCCGATGCTTTCTGCTGACATTGAGGACGTTCGGCTTTTAAGGACCCCGAAACACGGCGTGAAGAATCCTCGATCCTGCCCACCTCGTTTGAATACACAAGTCGGGAACGTTGCACAGTTTCTATTCAGAAGCCGCAATCTAGACGCGTTACAGCCTATGAATGTCTATCTTCACGACGGGTGCGCCAAAGTGTTCAAGTACGCCCTCAAAATGATGTAGATTTCAAGCCGTTCCGGCCTTCCGTTGAGTTTACGATGACGCTAAAATGACTCTGGCCTCTCCAAAACCTGGGAAGCAGGGCGGTAAGTATGGGAGAGCTGGATCCAGATACTTAGAAGTGTAGGAAACCAAGTCGATCCAATCCGTCCCGTCTTTGTGAACTGGCCTCATCGAAACTCAAAATGTGTTAGCTCTACAAATGTGATGATATGTGTTTGAACCAGGCTGCCATTGATCTGTCGGCTTGCATCCAGCTGGCTGTTGCAGCGAAAGTGGACAACGTCACCGAGACGAGGTGACCCCGAAAGTCCTGTTTGATAGGTTTTAAGCGCCACGACATAATAACAATGTCACATTGGCCTCCAAACGGTGCCTCTAGGTCAATGTTAAAAGTGCTGGCAATGATGAGTCACTAACTGTATTTGGGCATTAACAAGTACATTGATGCACAGGATTGCTAAGCGCTTTTGGTACTTTTTTTTATCCAAGAGAATGGCCTCTGACGTGCAAAATCCTTTAACCTTGTGCTTGAAAGCTTTCTAGCCTGGCCATGACGACGTCAAGCTGACAGTCTTTGTAAAGAAGCCAGTGGTAGTGCTCGTTTCGTATGAGCCAAGGTCTCCGACATTTATGTGACCCGGGAGTGACACCTCCAAAACCTCAGATTGATGGCGAACGCCATTTCGTTGCGAGAACGCTTTCGTCATGGCGTATCCACAGGGTTTTTGAAAAGCTTCACTTACGGCTCTTCGTTGCCGTTTGGCGGCAACCCTAAACGTTCGTCATATCGAGTGACGGGGTCGTGGTTTCTGACCATTTAGCAGACCTGTACCGCTGTGGCTAGGTTGTCAGGACCTTCGCTGTTAGAATCGACACACTCCGAAGCAAAGGACAGGCAGAGTCTTTCCGCAAGCTCGGCTTCTGGGTCGTTCACTCTTTCGCTTTCCAGTCCTGCACGAATGGGCCCTTTGAGTGCGCTTGAATCTTGTCCATCTTTTCTACGATTGAGCCTTCATGCTGCGCCCATAATCCTCCTTTCTTCATGCTATTTTTGGATGATTCACTCTCCTTCGTGCAGATTCCTCGCCATCCGAGATCGTTGGGAGGAACGGTCGAGACCGAAGCTTCGACGTTGCCGCGAATCTGATTCAAAGCTGAGCTAACGTGGTAGGTTATCTTCGTACTCTTGTCATGCACAATTTACTACATGGTAATCCTAGAGCTCTCCTTTGGTTTTGCGGGGCTTGGACTCTAGACACCCAAGACATGGGCGCTCCAGCACTAAGGCCCCCAGAGCGTCAGCGTGTCATGATGGCTGCTCATTGTTGAAATCAAAGTGAGTGGCTTGTTTAGAGACGCAACATTCGAAGCCACTAGTGATGAACAAAGATCTCCTGTAAAGTTCGAGCAGGTTGATACAGCAGATCTGCGTCTTATTCAGAATATCTGGCGGACGATGTTGAAAGTCAGAATGCAAATTGTCTCTGACATGTTTAGTAGGCTGGGATTTGCTAGGTCATGCGCGTACTGGCGTAAATGTTACTTTGTGAAAGTGCCGCTGCAAAGCCGAAGCGTAAAGGCATCTCAGTGGTCGTTAAGTCAAATCGCACGCTACTTTCCTCTGCCTTCGCAGGTGGAAGACCAGCGTCTAGTTGGTTCCCCGTCTGCGTCAAGCGGCTTTCCGTGCGGGTGACCGTAGGATCGTGGCGCTCCGGGGGTGTGATTCAAGTTCGCAGTTTTAGATCAGCGTACTTCAAACCAGTTCAATAGATTGAGACTAGCCTGCACTTCAGCAGACTTCTAGTGCATATTTGACTTATAGGAGGTGATATCGATAGAGTCCGGCTTTTCCCAACAAGTACATCAGGTTTCTTCATGGGAAGCGTGTTCCATACAACAGGAAGCGAAACTGAACACCGTACAGGGCACTTTGGCATACAACAAGTTTATACATGCATGTCCGATCGGGATTATTGAAAGCAGACTTTCTATCCTGGCCGACCATACCGAACAGCTTTTCAGTACAGTAGAGATCCTATTGATTTCCCACGTGCATGCCACTTGCTGGTTTCAATGCATTAATATGAATCAATCGTTGAAAGATTGAGTCGGTACAGCTATTGCATGTCGGCGAATTCCGAACGGTTGGACGAGCTATCGAGCTCATATAATAACCGCACATGACCTTACAGCATGCATCTGATGATGCCCGCTGTAGATCTACTGCCCACATGTAAACGAAGCTTGCGCGGCAGTAGGGCAATGAAGACGTTTCTCTATCACATGAGCGCGCCAATGTATGCGCCGCATCATCCAAGGACTGCGAGCTCGATCCACATTGCGTCAACCAAGCTTAGACGGTCCAAGGACGCGGCCTTCGGCCGAAATATAACGCAGACAGAAGCTAGCATGTTAAGATCTGCAGAGATTACATCATGCTGCATTCTGATTGCCACCTTAAGACGACCGACGAGTGCGGCGTCTTAATGCATTCATCAACCGGCCCCGGCAATATGTCTGAATGCCAGCTTCGACGTTCGCGCTTGGATTCACTTCATCGGAATACCACATGAAAGTCAAACGCTTCGAAGATTGAATTGACGCCTCTGCTTCGACTTTGCCGACCTTTGCTAGCCGTGCAACAGCCTTTGCTTTTGCCTTTCCAAAGCAAAGACTTCCCAGTCGAGACTCGCTCTATCTGCTTGACTGCTTTCCGTTTTCTCTAGCAGCGCTCGTACCTTTCCGTCTAGTATCGTGCAGACCGCCGCATCGGCGATTTCTAAATTCCACTCAAGTCCATCCAACGCTTCAGCTGCCCGGTTCGTCGCTTGCCGAACCGCCTCCTCCCTGAACGCGCGCTCTTTCGCCTCCGCGCGCGCGCGCAAAACCTCCTCGTCGAGCTCTGCGTCGGCTAGCTCCGCGCCCGCCTCCTCGCTTTCGCCGCGCGCGCCGTCGCCGGGCCCCTCGGCCGCGGCCGCGTCCGCCTCGCCGCGCGCGTCGCCCTCCCGCGCGGTTTCGACGCCATCCACGATCGTGTCGGCCGCTGACGTCAGCGCCAGGTACACAGCGCGCCGCAGTAGCGCGCGTCGGTTGGGCGGCACCTTGAGTTTCTCGTTAAGCTCCCCAAACCGCTGCCTTAACCCCTCCGCTCCACCCGCGGTTCCAAGCGCGGTTAGCCGTTCGTTCAGCCTGTTAACCGAGCCGTCCCAGCGTCGTTTCGACGTCGAAGCCCCCTCCTCCGTTTGCCCCTCTGCAGCTTCTGACGCCCTGTCTTCGATAGCAATAACAGCATCGCAAATCGCAGACGCTCTGGCGTCCGGCCGGAAGTATAAGGGCTCCCCGCTTCCCAGATTCGCCCGCACAAAGTCCATCTCCCGGGCGACTTCCTCCGGGTCTTCCGGCGCCTCCGCCCCGCGCGGGTTTGGGGTTTGGACGCCGTCGACGAGCGCTTGAATGGCCTCCTCGACCGCGCGCGCGCGCACGCGCGTCGCCAGGTCCGCCTCGACTTCCGAGCGAGAGGCTGCCCGCGAAGGGGTCTCGGTCTCGAAAGCTATGCCCTGTAAGCAAGAAGATTTCGGACTGAATCAGTTTGAAGATTGAAAAATATTTGTCATTATGAAGCTCCCTCGTTTTAACGGGTTCGATTCTCTCCGGCTCGTATTCGTTTCGTGCTCTCGACAATGTTGCTGGAGCCGCCTCGTCTGCAGCGCTGCGGCGTTTGAAATAAAAGCGACTGCTCCCCAACAAGGTAGGGGGTTTCGCGTGCTAAGCCGCCGTAGGGGTAAATAATACTCGGTGAACGACAACAGTTCAGTCAAAGAGGCTCTCCAAAAAGGCTGAGAGCTTCGCAAGGTATGCCCCCAGTTCGTGAGGGCATTCTCTCCGTATAAGCTTCATTTCGTAAATTTATGTAGCCCTCGATGTCGTCTGCTCAATATGCCGAAGCAGCTTATTGTATAAGCATACGCGCTCATCTGAAGGATTGTCGTTCTTTTGCTGATTACTAGGCGGGGGAAGTTACATGCATATTCCGGGTCACGGAAAACGGGACGCACTCGATCCGCACTCCCCCTTTATTCTCTTTCCTGGCTTAAAACCTCGCGAGGAACTTGGACTTAAAGTGAATGGTTTCACTACGGTCTGTCTCCGGAAGCTAATGTCTCCCTGTGACCGTCATCTTTCCGGTTCCAAATATCGAACACATGCAAACGCCCCCCCGTCCCTTCCTCCATAAAAGCAGAAAAAGTGAACGACTTGAGCATCGCGACTGCTCGTACCTTGAGGATCAGCGACTCCGTCGCTGACGTCACCCTCGGCTCCGTCACCAGCCGCCAGCTGTCCAGCCACGTGCCCGGCTCGCGGCTCCGGAACGAAAACGCAAAACCCTTGCGCTCGCCCGGCCGCAGCGCGCCCTCCATGTCCATCTGGTAAAACCTCCCCAAACCCTCGGCGCTCTTCCCCGTCGGCCCCGCCGCGGCCGCGTCGCCCTCCCTCTCCCACCGGTAGAACAGCACCGTGGATCCCGTGTTCGAAACCTCTAAAACCTCGGTCGCGACCGCTCCCGCGGCCGCGCACAGCGTCACCCGCCCGGCGGCCATTTCGAGCGCGGGGCCGGATTGGCCGGGCGTTTCTTCGAGCGCGGCCGGGAGCGCGCTCGTCGCGGCCGCGGGCGCGCGCGCGCGCTCCTCGAGCAGCTGCGTGTAGGCGTGGTTGTCGCTCGCGGCCAGCTCCTTCTCGACCTCTTTGAGAGTGATGGGCGCGGCCGCGGCCGCGGATAAACCCGCTTCGATACTGTAGCCGACGACCTGAACGGGAACACCAGGAGTTTGTCGAAAAGTTGATGTGGCACAAGCTCTACGTTGGGGGTCAATTTTCATATGGCCCCGCCCTCTTTACCGTACTACTGTAATTCCTACCTAGCTTAATACCGTAGCAGGAAAACATCCCATTCTGGAAAGGCGGTATCGTTGTCCTGTAATGTTGCAACTATATTGCGTCAACGCACACAGATTCAGCAAAAATAAGGTAGAAACAACTTGCATCTTCCCCTGTCCTCGAGGCCATGCATATTACAGTGCCGAAGTCTTCGTAACGAACTGCACATTAGCCAGATGATCGACACTTTAGCACTGTCAGCCAATTATAGCCGTCCATTTCCACCCCTTCTCACCTGCAAGCCGTCGATCTCCGGCTCGTATGGTTGCAGTTTCAACATCTCTTTCCTGAGCTTGTGTTGTCGCTGCTTCACAGTTTCTGATTCCAACCAGGACCGCGACCTTGTTCCGGTCCCCAAGCCTTTTTCCGTTCCGTTCGCTTCCGTTTCCGGCCGCCCAATCCGCTCGAGCTCCTTGGGTCTGGCTGAGCAGGGCGGCGCGAAGACGCGCCCGAATATGTTTCCGACCGGATACGAGATGGTCCAGTGATTCCGGAGACTCATTTCCCACTGTGAGGCGGAAAGAGATTGAGATTTTAGAACGGCCAGAAATCGGACTTCAAGAGTTAAATTGGTTCATGAGGGTTGAAAGGACGAACTATTTTCATGTCAGGGTACGGTGCTCAGAACAAGCGAGGACACTGATGGAAATAGGTTGACTACCATCGGCAGTTTTCGAGTCTCGTGGAAACTCGGTAGCTGCTCAGAAAAGCATGCAGTTCAGGGGTGGTCTCCAACTACCAATCTCGGGCACTGCCAGTTCCGCCACAGCCTGCAGCCATAATGTTGTACAGCCAACACTATACGTGTGCACCTTTTGGTCTGGACCATACCGACCTCTGTGCCCAGCTATTCAACATACACTAAGAGATTGCTTCTGTTTTCACCAAGAAAAGCAAGCCCAAGATGGCAAAACACCCTTCCTCTGACCTGCTCCGGCGAGTCCTCTCGACTCTCAAACAGCAGAACCTTAGAGGTTGCTGAAAAAGAACTGAGACTACCGTTGGGACATACCGCATCCGGACGTAAACACGAACCTCGCAACTTTACGTCAGAACCATCCGAGATGCCATAGGCTTACCATAGCAGGCCCCGAGAACTTTTCTTCGGTCGGCTTGGCAGCTTCCAGGTGGTCCTTCGCCTCCTTCAGGGTCCGGAACTCGGGGCCTCGCTCCATCACCAGCTCAGACTCCGGTTTGCCCGTCTGAAAAAGATAGACAGGAGGGGAAACGATTTAGAGATGGGAACGAAGTTCATATTGCCTGCGCAATTTGGTGCTGGATGACGATCCAAAAAGGGACCCGCTCTTGGCTACGTGGTGTGAATTGCAGGTCGTCCTTTAACACATCTTAAGATGCTGTCTGTAAAAGTGCCTTCTTGTAGAATCAAAAGCTGCCTTCTTGTAAAATCGAAAGCAACTTTCACCCCCCAGCCTATGACACCTTGTTGAACATTTGGCGAGAAACGAACCGAAGAGTGTCCCGATGGGGCAGAAAAACCAGAGGCTGTGCGGAACACATGCTCTTGCATGTAGAGCCACCTTTGCAGGGAGAATCTCATCAAATGAAGCAAGCAACGAAAGACTGTCCCTTGTGTTGAGTCTGTTGCATGCGACAACTCAAAGTTATCCGGCAGCAACGAGCATATCACCTCGAGAAGCAGCCTCTGCTGCATCAACACAGCTTATGTGCATACTGTTACCTGAGCCATCACGCTCCTTTTGACCTTCGCCCATTCGTCCTGTGCCTCCTGCCACTTTCCGAACGCACGCGCCTCTGCACCTGCCACTATCGTTTGACTCGCCAGCAGATGCTCTTCCTCTTCTTGCTGCTGCTGGTGGAGGAGGCTTGCCTGCAGGATGGGAGGAAGCATCAAAAACTTAAAGAGCATGGCTGCATTCAGAACCTTCACGCAGTAACCCCATTTGTCTTGATCGTGTGTACAGAGACCGCGGCTTAGGGAAACAGGGTTTTCAGCCAAGTATCTGCCGCGCAGACCTTCCTCCTCTTGATTCGGATAGCTCCATCAGCAGAGTGCAAACATTCTTGGCTGGTGGTTGGAAAAATTTGTATAGCAGTCTTTAAAGACAAACACTGCTTGAGTGGTAAAAAATAGTCAAGTTGTTTCGGAAGTTGGGACAGTCCAAACTTTTGACCACTGCTCAGTCAAGAACATCATATGCTATTCATGCCACTTGAGGCCCTTAGCCGCGCTCTTTGGATATTTCCTTTATGGGCCGACTTCGCCCCTGAGTCAATGGGCTGATTGGCTGCCAAAATTGCCCTGGATGGCCCTAGAGCTTTCTAAATAGCAATAAAAATGGGTCGTACAATGGTTTGCGTTTCCCTATTTACCTGCATGGCAAGCTCCCGCCTATGCTGCCGTCTTCGCTCGTACGCCTCTTTGATTGCAGCCCCTCCATCCTCAGAAGCCTGAATCGCAGCCGCAATCTCTGGCGGGTAATCTTCTCGGATGTCTGAACCTGATGTCAGCTCTGAGCTTTCGTTTGCCAGTTGCGCTGCCGCATCTGACTGTGAGGAGCTCTCCTGGAGGGATTCCTGCTTGATTCTTGCTGTGTTGGCCAAGATAAGCGCTCCAAACTCGTCGGGGTTTGCATCCTGGCTGACGTCACGCTCTGCAGATCTCTGCGAGCTGACATCAGCAACTAAGAAGTGGTCAGCAGACGCCCCAAGAGAAGGCAGTTGCCCCAGCTCAGTCCTACTGCTTGTAGCTTGCTGAGCTGCAGTATCTCTCCATTCGCTGATTGGCGAAGTGCTGTAAGCCCTCTCAGTCCACGACTCCCTCTGCTTGATGATGGGCAAGGTGGGGACAGAACTAGAGGTGCTCTCTCCATTCTCTGAGGGCCTCGTTGTGCGCCGTACTACGATTACCTTCTTGGTCTTCGCTTTCAACCCGGAAATAGCCGGCAGCTGTACCGGGGCAAGGGCAAAAAGCGTTGGATCCGCCATGCTGCTACAGCATCAGCAGGATTTTGAGCTCATCAAGCAAGAAACAGGCAATTCCGCCACCTCTGCCGATGTGGCATCCCTAGACAGCTAGCGATCCCTCCTCAGCTGTGCTTTCAAGTGTCATCCATTCAGAGCAAAAAGGACTTGCCTTCAGGAGTTTTATAAGTATTAATACCTAGCGCCGGCTACATTTACATACCCTATCCCTCCTTCAGCTCCCTCGCAAAAGAGAAACCAGCTCGAGTCCGAGTCGGGATTACCGGTAAGTCAGACCCGCTGGAGTGGCTCGCTCTTTCAAGAGTCCTTGCATGATTGCACTCCTTTGTCATTTGAACCGCCAGCAAAATCTGCACGCCCGAGCGACGTACGGTAAGTATCATTCAAAACCTGGAACCCTCGCCGGCCGCGTCATGTGTCTCGGCCGGTCTGCTTTCGCGGCCGCCCATGCGCGCGTGGCTTAGCCCACCCAGGTGGAGGCCGCCCAGCTACTAGCCTCAGCTACTCCGCCCCCGGCCAGGCAGGCTCAGCCAAGTTCTGGACTCTGGTCCAGCAGGCTGGCAAGTTGTTGAGCAGGGATTCTGTAGCAAAATGAATCAGCTTTGAAGAGGCCAGAGTGCGCAGGGCTTGCTATCTGAAAGTTTAGCAAGCTCTACTGAAGAAGGAATTCCAATCGCAGAGATGCTGCGCATCTGTGGCGCTGCCAGGTGCAGGCCGCAGCAGGCGCAAGCTGCCTTCTGTAGCTGCGTCCTGCCACTTCTAATTGAACCAGCACAGCGTGTAAAGCAAGAAAAGTTGGGGTTATGGCGGAACTCTGGAAATGTTTCCAAAAATGAGTTGAATGTGGGTGCTGCAAGTCATAAAATGCCAGCTGGTGACAGATGGTTGGCACAGGGAGTGAGGGGTTATGCAGCTTCTGCCACTACAGTGAGCGCTGCTGAGATCTCTGCAGCTTCTCAAAATGCATATCATCGCCACTTTTCTTCTGCAAAATAGAGTTCTTGGTATTTTCACGCGTTTCTTTGTCAATGTTGCTTGCAATGCCGCTGCCCAGCCAAAGCTGCATTTTGACAGGAGGACAAAATCTTTTCATTGCCGCAGTTCCATGATGGTTTGTCAAAATGTCCGGAAGCCCTTTCTGTGCTCTCCGATGAAGTGCCTGCATGGATTGGCCTTGTGGGACCTAGCTACCGACAAAGGCAAAGGATGGCCTGAATCAATCTAACGGCGCTCCTTTTCTCCACTCCCACTTGTTGGTGCAGCTGGGGCTTGCAATGATTGTGAAATAACATTCCAGAGCCGGAGACAATCACACTCTGTGGCCCATGTGCCAGAATTTGCACCACCTTCTCAGAAACATATCATCAAAAGCAAGAACATCTCCGAAACAATCTCCAGAGCATCTCTCGGTATGATCTTTCATCACGCCGCAAGCCTTTTCTCTCAGCAGGTGGGTAGGCCAATTGCGAATCACCTTCAAAGCAGACAAGGGAGAACTTAAATGCAGCATTCCCTTTTTTCTTGCCTCTCGGTTTTTCAAAGTTTGGAAGCTATGTAGAGCTGCAGGGCCTACAATGAGACTGACACGGCAAGCATCTCCACAGGTGGAAGAACCAGACTCAGCGGAAGAGTTCTATGCGCGCGCATCCGAGCTCCTTCGACAGGTGGAGGATGCTGCAGAGACGACGGGGCAGCGGGCAGAGGAAAATGACGAGCTGAGGGGGAAGCTTGAGGTTTGTGGCCTTCTCACAAACTGTCTCCGATTGGTTTATATTGTTATTTCCGAGGCGCATGGCGACAAGGTTCAATGGTGGGCGTTTGTGTGAAAAGGATTGTTGCTTGCGAAAAAGGATTATGGAACCACCTGGACAATGCTGGCAAGAGCAAGGATCTCAATCGTCCAACATCTTTGCGGTGGACCACATAAGCATAAACACAGTCCAGGCAATCCAGGAGCGGCTGAGCGAGAAAGCTCAGAAACGGGCGGCGATGATGTTTGATGGTGGGCTAGCGAGGTCCCCAAACTAGAGCCGCTGGTGGAAGCAGGGTAGCAAAGCGTGTGTAATTCCATAGGTCCATCAAGGATCTCGAAGTTGTTGGTCGAGGGCTTCGTCTGTCTACGCCAGTGTTGCCTCCTGTGTCAACTCTTCACCCCCAGAATGAAAGCAGATTCTGAGTTAGAGCCTCTTCTCTTGCGACTATTAAGTTCCAGCATAAACAGGCCTGACTGCATTTGTCTGCATCACAGGAGGCTCTTTTGTTGCTCTCTTGCGATTGGCTCTCGAAACCGTTCGCTTTCAGATACATCGCAAACGCCTTCCAATGTTTTGATTCCAACGAAGTGGGTCCCAGTGCCTCTGCCAGCTGCACTCTGTATCCCAGTTGTCAGGGTTGAGTTGTTTAGGTGCGTCTGTGTAGTGCAAATGAGGCGTCAGACTGCCAGTTGTAAAAGGCCTAGTATTCGGGACTTCAGTTGCCTCTCTTAGAAAGCACCTCTCTGTTTCAGCTTCAAAGAACATTCCAGGGTCCAGCTTCGACTTTTCAAGGTTGAGCTATAAAAGGTCCAAACTTCGAGTCTCGAGCTTCACAGTCTTACTCACAGGGGACTTCATTTTACCTCTCAGGAAGCGGCCGAGTGCCTCGAGATCAGCCTGGGCGAGGGGCGCAGCGACCCACGGGCTCTGTTTGCGCTCTCGCAACTGCACGAAAAGTACGACCTGCCAGGCTTCTCTGCTGACAGGTGACTGAGCCTCATTCTTTGTCTTTTATGCTCCAAACGTGCTAGGACATACCCTTTAGCGGATATTGTCTCCGTTTTTGTCCGCTCTCTGGGCCAAGCGTGCGCTTCTGAAGTGTGTCAAGGAACGAGCATGCGGATGAGAACTCGCTTTGCCACCAGTCCGGGGTCGGTGTCAGTCGTTCATGGTGCGGAAGACAGGTGGCGAGGCGGGTGGTCGTTGCATTCCTTCTAGATATTGGCAGCCAAACGGCTGTGGCTTTCCTTTGTCAGGTACTTACACATTTAGAACGTGCACTGCATGGCTTTACCAACTTGATTTTACCAACCGGATACATAGCAGAGGTTGAGACAGTGGCTGCCGTTCCTCATGGAGACAAACGTGCATTGCATGGAAGATCGTATTTCACCAACCTTGATTAGCAGAGGTTGAGACATTGGCTGCCGTTCTCACGCCCCCTCAGTGCTCTCCAGGGCTCTCAGCCTTCTCTACCATGCTGCCAAGGCTGGTTCTGCGGAGGCGCAATACGAGCTGGCGTCTAGACTTCGATTACAAGTGAGCACAGGGCCCTAAACGACGAACTTATTCAATGACTGCTTGTATTTCGTGATATAGCGGGGCCTCTTCAACAGTTTCGAACTTCCGATAGAGACGATTTCCGGATCTGGCTACGCGCTTCTGGACCTCACGGGCTTCTTTGTGCACGCGCAAACTTAAGATCGTTCCCAGTCCTAGGCTGCTTTCCTTGTAGCCGTGCTGACGCACCGCGAATCTTTCCATAGCGTCCTCGAGACTTGAGGGAGCCGCAAGAGCCACTTTGAAAGGGATAAGCACTGGTTCCCTCTTCTCAAAATCGACAATCCTCAGAAGGTTTCGGCTCAGGTTGTGTAAAGCATACGGTGCGGAGGCTGAGCGGCCTCAATCTCATAAGATCTATAGCCCTGGTTTTCCTCAGGATAAGTATCAACCGAAATTGGTTTTCGCCTCCGTTTTTGTTAACCGTAGGACGAGGAGGGAGACCCGGGCGGAGGGCGCTCTCAACTATTGCTGACGGAGGCAGCGGCTCAGGTAACTGTCGGCTTGTTCTTTTGCCACGTGTCATCAAAGCTGCGAGCGACCGACCCGCTCTTTAACTCTCGCTTCCAGCCTTCCACGCATTCTTGGCAATTTTCGTCAACCACGTAGTTGTTGGGGGCAGAGTTGACGAACTCCGGAAAGTTCATTGTTCCAAGTCTGAGAGCCTTGCTCTTTGAATGCTACTGTAAAGCCAACGCATTTTCAAAGCGTGTACATTCTCCTCTATCAACGAGATGGAGGATTGACACCGACGGCTGCTGAGTTATATGTCCGCAGCAACTGTGTCACGGACCCAGTGGTTCCACTTCAAGTTCACAGAAGAGCCAGTAACCACAGCGCACTCGTGCCCAATTCCTAACTCTTTGGTTTAGGACGATTGCTCGTACTCTTGAAGTGTGGGGTTCGTTTTGGCAGGGTCATACAGACGCGATGTTTCTCCTCGGGGCGGCAGAACTTCGTGCGCAAGCGGAGGGCGGTCATGGAGCGGCATCCGCCAAGCAGTGGTTCAAGCGAGCGGCGGATCTGGTGAGCGGTCTGGAAAAAGCTCGCACTTCGGTTTGCAATAGAGTGCTCTCTCCCGCTTCAAAATGTGATGCGAATTCCAGGCTGCAGATCAGCTGAAACACTCGAGGCGCGAATCGCACTTCAATCCACAAACTCGTTTCTCAAACGGGGATTTTCAAATTTGGCATCGTGTCGCAGGGTCACGTGCCTGCCGCTAGCATCTACGGAGTGCTTCTTTTGAAAGGTGGGAGTTTTCGCCCCTTGGTTCACGTGCCAAAGTCGTGCGGTGCCATTTACTAACAATTGCACGCTCTCCTCGCATGAGGGAAACGCAGTCTGGATAACCACCGGTACTCTTCCTGCCTTTCGACTGTCCAACGATTCCCTCGTAATCATGTGCTTTTGCTTCCTTGCTATACGCAAGCTTTTCTCAGAGTCGATGAGAGGCTCTACTTTTGATGAGTTTTGAAGATGGTGTAACGCCCTTTCAAGTCCTGCAGATTCTCCCGAGCCCGCCTCCAGACAAGAAGCAAAGAGGTATTTGGATTTTGCCGCTGGGCGAGGTGAAGCTCTGGCTGCCGATTGGCTGACCAGCATCAAAACGTCATGATGCGAAAGATACAACGGGCGCGTATGGGCGAGCCCGAGGTCCTTAGTAATTGAAAATACTCTCGACATGAAGTCCCAGTGCAAATTATGACTCCATTCCAAGCAAGGACATCTGCAAAGCCGGGGCCTTTTAAAGAGCATGCAGAATGGAGCCGACAACTTAACACGCATGTTTCACTGCAACTACCGATTTACAGATGCAAAAGGAGTCAGCCCGGTCAAGGCGGCAAGCCCGACACGTTCCATCTATGCATATGTGCACAGTCTTTTCGGCATTCACCAAGTCGCAAGTTCCGGTATGCAGTAACAAAAAAGCGCCATATGCCTACTTTACGTCTTGTTTTGAATGATTACTTGCCATTGCGAATGACTGCGGCCTTCAGCTAGAGCTATGCTATAGCCTATGATTGTCTTTTTGCATGTCTTCGATATAATTTTCAACACCGAACTCAGGGGACCAGGGCCATCTGCAGCCCGCACTGAGTGCTTTGGACTCACTGCCGTATACTAGGTCTTTGAAATCAAATAGCTGGAGGGGTAAACAATAAGTATACGGGATCATGCATCTCATGCATGCTCAGCAGCTGTCACTGTCACGCACGGCATGTGGAGCGAATGATCGGTATACCTGATCGAATTAGTATGAAAATTGTGACGCCGCTGATTTCGTGACCATCACCACTGTACTGCTGACGTCGGCCTGGCGTTTGCCAGCGACGGCGTCGTGAAGCACGTGGGCAAGGCCCACTTTGTGTTTACGAGGAGCCCAAATTTGACTGATCATGTCAAAACCTCTGTGCGGATCTTACTTAATCATTGCGGGCATGCCAGGCTAGTTTGGCCAACCGGACATTTCTCCTCTTAGCTTTGAAGTTCCGCTCCATGCTTGCTTATAACGACGATCAAACTTGACTTTGAACGACCACCTTAAGTTGTGACACATGGTACAAACCGGCGCAGGCTAAGAATTTGCCTTCTTTCAAGCTTTCAAAGCTAAGTAGCTGCACTGAACATGCATGGACCGTATTCAAATATCTGCGTACAGCCAAGCCTGGCGGCATTGTTATCATATGGTGGGTCCAATTTAGCAGTTCATTTAGTATATATAGCCTACTGGCAGGGCCGCCGATCGCTTATACTTATCCGTGGTTGCCCACCTATACCGTCCCTGATTGCCTTCTGTCTTCCTCCGACCCCCGCCTTCCTCTGCAAATGATTACGTCCCCGCAGCCCGGGCCAGTATTGCGATTTAATTTATCCAGACTAAAATGGCCGGTAGCATGTTCCATGCAATGATGCTACATCCGCGTTGGGCTAACGAGGCTCAACTCCGCACGATGCAGTATCAATGGTCACGGTCCTGCTTTACTGGGGCAATATTGAATTTAAGTTACTCACGTACATCGCTGAGTACGTGAGCACTAGATTCTCATTTAAGACTTCGATGGCCTGATGCGCTGAACTTGGTGAGGGGCGGCGGTGGCTTCCAAGTAGGATGCATCGAAGTGTTTAACAGCAGTAAAGATCTTTTCCACAAAAAAAGGTACTTTCGCTCAAAAGCGCTAACTTGAGTTCTGCTTGGAGCGGCTTCACGCAAGGTTTCGAACAAGCGTGAAGACGAACACTTTCTAGTTGGAGCCGGGAAGTTCGTGAGTTCACACTGCCCAAGGGCTTCCGTAATCTTGAGAGGGAAAAGCCGATTGAATATATGAGCAGGCTGTCAAATCAACACATCTCCCGGGATTGCAGACAACATACATACGTCCAGAGGGATCTCGTTGCCCTACAGATGAGCGATTTCGAAGGTCTGGCCAGGGGCCACAAGCGAGTCCTGCTTGAGGGCTGCCGATATGCTCTGCGCCGCCGGATTGAAAATTCTGCCGATTGGACTGTCACGATTTGATCTTCCCTATTTCCCGAGGCACATATTGGCCTCGGTTGATAGCAAACAGAGGTTAATGGCTGAATTAATCGTGGTCAGGTTTAAAACGGCTGGTAAACCCACCATAACTAGACCTCCAAAACAGGTGGTTTGCACGTCTGCCCGTGACCAAAAAGGCCATAATTTTCAAGTTAGCCCTCTGAGGAGTAAATTTGACCAGAAGTTACGTTCCGGGCACGGCGTGCGAACTCCCTCTTGAAGTATAAAACCGGGTGCCGTTAACCTACCCTTACCGCTTGTGGCCTCAGTTTCTGGCAGAGCAAGGAAAGTTGTGATTAATCTTGCTCAAGATGACATAAGCAGAATTACGGTGGCGCTAGTAAGCAGTTTGAGTGGCGCAGTGGTCTGCAATACGCACATCGGCTAGCTGATAGTAATCGTTTACAACTGGGTCGCACGAGCTTGCCTGCTGAGAAGTCGTAGTGGATCCTTCCTGCGCCGTCGACGTCTCCGAATTGATCTGATCCGACCCCTCCTACAAATGAAAGTTCATAGTGGGATTCCGGCCAGCAAAGGCGAAGACATCGAAAAGCTGGCGCGCGCCCGCAGTATTCTTGATCGGATCAGGGCCTTCAAAAATGTAGGCTTCGCACTTCTGGCTTGTGCCCCTGCCATGCACGCTTGCCAACCGTTTCAGCGGCCTTAGTGGATTTTTCGACTCTGCACCTTGAGACGCCGCCAGAACGAGCTTTGGGTCTGAATGCAGGAACTATGAATCTGCCAAATGATGGGAGCCCAATCACTTGAATTCGACCAGTTAAAGCCAGTTTTAGAGAGCTGCAAACGAAAGGCTGCCGGGGTTTGCTGACCGCTGACTCTCTAGCGAGGAACTTCAATGTACGTGGAATCATGCCAGTCGTTCTCAAAAGACCTCCGTTCTAGCTTACGAGAAACCGAAACGCAGACAGTTGTGTGCGGGCTCAGGTCTTTACTTATATGTGCTATATGAGCGAAGCTTCCACCGCACCTCGCTTCTAAAAAGAGTCCGCTTAACGTTGCTGCGAAACAACATACCTGCTCGTTACTCCGTCGCCTCTGCAGCTCGCCACGAGTCCGCCTCGACGCCCCGATCAGGCTGAACACTCCAGCATGGCCTTGCGAAGGTCGGGCCTCTGTAGGCCGGAGCTGCCGATTTGCCTCCTGCTTCCAATAAGCATCGAGCTCGTCAATGATAACACATTAGAGCGGGCTCCCGAATGCTTCGTATCGACGCTTTCGAGGACCCTGGCTTTGAAAGCTCAGGAAATGTCAACCACGCATCTTTTCTTTACTTTAGAAACCAGCTACTTTAGGAACTCAGGAAGAAGATCAGCAGCCTCGGAAGCGTCAGATTGCATTCTGCATCCGACCTCCTGCCTAGCCCCTGTTTGAAAAGGATGCTCTTTTGTTCTTCATTCAAAAGATCGACCTGAGGCACAAATCCAAAGACGATTTGCAAGTCTAAGCTATGACTTTGTTTTTCCATAAAGATTCCCTGACCAACTGTGTCGTGTTTTCATGTTCCAAATAGAGATGTAACGAACCGACGCGTTCGGGTACGGAGACTTGAAAATAGATTTTGTCACAAGAGGAGAAACTTCGTGGCGACACCTCAGATTGGATCCAGCACAGACAAAAGCCTTCTCACAAAAGCCTTCTCCCCTTGCTCGAGAATCTGCACGGCGCTTTATAGAGATCGTGCTCTACCCAAAAAGTCAAGATCTCTCTCGCCTGGACGCAGACCTCCTTAGCACCTCTGTGCATTGACAATACTTGCCACAACTCAAGGGGATGGGAGGCTACAGTTGGATACGACAAGTCGCCCCAAAGAAAACCTTCATTGCCTTCAAACCATACTCCATCCATGCCATATTCTGAACGCACTGCACCGCACATGTGGAGCGGTATGCAGAACGCCAGACTGGTCCCCTATCATCAAGTTCCAAGTGGATTACGTGTCTATGTTATAATCTGTAGCACTTGTCACCAACTCTTTTCGCAAAACTGCTATCAAGGAGAAGGGCATTCATTGATTGTAACGGGCCCTGATCAAACTTTGCAAGGCACCCTGATTCAATTGTAGAGCCTGCTCTATGTGTCCGTAGTTTACATGGAAAGCCAGGGACAAATTATTTTTAGCTGCTCACCATGGAGCACGGCAACCTTTGGCGCTTTGCTGTCTCTGTTTCATTTCCAGGCTCCTTATACGAGCTACCGCTACGGCAGATGGTGCCAGAGGCCTTGCCTATGGAAGCGGAAGGCAGTTGCTTAGCGAAACACGACAGGCCCATGTTGACTCTTGATTCACAAGTCCGCGCAGCTAATTATATGAGCTTTGTACAAGCTGGCTAGGAAGTAAGCAGACTCTCACAGTTTTCTAGAATTGCTTTGTTCCTTTGCAGACAAGCAGCACATAGAATCCTGAACAGCCGCTAGCTTAAGCGCGCATGGATTGAAGCGCTCCTGCCATCGATTCCTCGGAGGATGCGTTGTCCTCTGTCGGGCAAATTTACAAAACACGGCGCAAGCATGCCAAGCAGAAGCCGGTCACAGATAAGTTTTGCAGTCAATCAGAGCGCGGTTGAGAGCTTGTTGTTGCCATGGGTTTGGGTCTGGTTCAAGATTGATTAATATCTACTGAACGAGACAGAAAGAATGCTACCAAGGTAAGCATGGTTTTGGCAGGGCATTCGAACGGTTCATCTGATTACATTGTATGTCGTGAGAACGAGGCCATTTTATTTCTCGACGAGCTGCAAGGATGCATGCAGCGAGGATCATCGAACGGCCAGCTAGCTGCCTCCCCTTATCAATTCGCCGCCGTTTTCCAGTGGGCCGATGATGATCTACGAAGTTGCCACGTCACGCTTGCGCTCTCGCATGAAAACGCGGCGGCGCGGCCTCGAGCGCGCGCGGCAGAATGAGCTTCAGAAGACGTACGTAGGTATACGGGGCCTGTCGGCGTTCGAGGCGCCTATCCTGATCCTGAGGCAGTCAGGAAGGCAGGAGAAGCGGCGCGAGAGGGCCGCGGCCGCAAAGGCCAATGACAGAGTTCTAAGAAGTGCTCATGTTCAAGCATGAACACGATTCAGCAGCGAACTAACGGATGATTTGAGCCACGTTGTCATAGAGGTTGCGATTTAAGCTGAATCCGAGACCCGCCGAGTCCTGTAGAATATGTTCGTGGGCTTCGACTCTTTCAAATCGATCCTGCCCTGCCCGGATTCTACTTCTGGATGGCCCCCCACTCGGATATTGGTCCGAAATGCTCGTTTGTACATCCCAAACGGAGTTTTCAACCCAGCGCCCCCCGAGAATGCGTCCGCTGGGCGCCCTTTCTACGACATGGACGGCACTCCAACCTTTCCGCATTTCGTAGACCCCCAGCAATGCTCTTGACGCAACGCCGTCCCGGCGTTACGTTCCGGACGGTTCCCGGTTGCTCCTCTGCTGTAGCGGGCGCGCGCGCCCCCTTTACTTACCTCCAATCTGGCACAGCTCGCGGCCGTCCGCGGCGCGTACACCCTCCTCCGCGGCCATGCAGGTACGCGCGCGCCTCCTTCTTGACGTTCGTCTGGCGTGCACGCGTCCTTGGCAGCGTCGTCCGGGCCTTCACCAAACCGACTCCGGGCAAAGGAAGCTTCTTGCCGAGCGCACTGCTTCCCACCCCGTGGGTGCTGCCACGTCTCCAAGTTCCGCTGTTCTTTCCTCACTCCTTCTCTGAATGATCCCTGAGTGGGGCGGTTACCGCTGAGGTCCCTTCAACTCATGCAAAGAGGGCGCGAGAAAGACGAGATGTTTCTCGCTCGACGCCCCTTGTGAACTTGTGGAAAGACCCAACTTAAAGACGATGTCCGAGTCGAGAAACTTGCTTAAAAGGGGCTGCAATGTCAGATGCACGTTGACCTGAAAAGACATATTAAGCAAGATAGGAGCACACACTGCTTGAAACTCCAGCAGGGCGCAAGTTGCCACGAAATGGCCCCACTGCATGTACCGAAAGGGCCATCCAGGATCCAAAGCTTGCGCGGGCTCGCTCGCGTGCAGCGCCGCGGCACCGACTACAATCCCAAGCTGCTTGCCGACGGCGCCCCGCTTCGTGATCGCTCGATCCAGCTCTAGCTGTCGATCAATAAATGCAATGCTTCCCCGCCGCTCAATACATTGGGAGCTCCAGTCCCGCTCCTTGCCAAGTTGCGCGCGGACGCATGTGGCTTGGAGGCGCCCAGGTACGCTAGGATGTTGTCGAAGGGCTTTGATGGCACCGGGCCTCAGCTTTCTTGACTGCTTTCGCGGACAGCTAGACGAGTGGCTACTCGAGCTTCGAGAAAAATCCGATCTGTCTGTCAAAGTTACTGTCCGATGGATACGTGTCCGCCTCAAACAGGCAATCCATATTGCACCTTGTTTATTGTTTGAATACTCAATGTGTGTGTAACCCCAAAGGTATGGCGTTCTCTCCGTCGACAAGCACTAGCATCGAAATTTGAGAAGGACAGCGTTTGCAAAAGTTTGGCCCTTTGCATGAAGCGATTACGCTCCTCATTTATCGACTTCGGCTTCGCCCTCACCTAATGATGCCGTGCAATCGATTAGAACCTATGTCCAATCACACTTTGAGCGGCCGATTTTAGGATATATTGGCATCGATGCAATATAACATGCACTTCGACCTCATGAGGTGCCAGGTGGCTACGGTGTGTCGGAACTAGGCCGGACAGGTCGTTTGCATGTAAACGTTTGAATCTTATGAACAGCATATACTTGGCAGTGCATGACATGCTTATAAAGTACGATTGACTAAATGATCTACGCACCAACGGTACCACATACGAAGGGCTCGCAGGTCAACAAGACCACCCGCGGCCCGCGTCGGAGGTAGGAGCTGCCTGCATTGAACGCGGCATATTACAATACTAGGACTGCATGTGGCACATGCCATGATGGCAGTCCTATATCGATTATTACTAAGCCTGGAATACGTCCAATGTCATTTGATTACCGTAAGGCAACAATTGATCGCATGCGAGGAGCCAGGCTTGATGCCGTACTGAAGGTACTAGCTCACTGACCTGTACGTGGCCGTGCGACTGGCACAGGCACAGCGGCCCTGCGAGCATGTCACCTTGCGATCAGTGTGCATGATAAGCTGGACATGGAAAGGATTGCAGCAGGAATCAGTTGCATATATATACCAACATCAAAGATTGAACTTCAAGCCGGCTAGACCTTATAGTACAGACCCAGTTGTCCCGCCTTCCCTCAACCAGTCAGTCGGTACTTCAGCGTCGATTCTGCAGGAACAGCTCATAAAAGAAGTCCGGTTGGTTGCCACGCATCTGCCCCACTTTTCTGAAATATGCTCGCATGCAATTGCAAGCTCTATTCTACAATCTGTACATTTGGCGTTAAGCAGTCCCCGCTGTGCAATGCTCGGGCGGACAGTGGGCGGAAAAGTTTCAGCCCCCACAGCAGCCCCCTTTGGCCTTCTTGCCAGTCACTGCGGTGATGGACACGGCGTCTCGACTCCGCGCAGGCGCCATCAGCGTCTGCTTCTCTTGGATGGCCTTGGCGATGCAAACGAACGCTTCTTCGATGTTCGTAGAGTCCCTGCGGAATCGGAGTGAGAAGAAATGGCGTCAGACTCGAAGCGGTGTACGCAGTTAAATGTTGACATGCGAGGTAATCCTCAGAGGAGTTGTAGCCTAAAAATTCGGGCCCCGGCGAGCTATCGGGCCAGAGGTGTTTTCTAGCCTGATGGAAGACTGTAAGCGATTGGCTGAGGCGCCTTTTGAGGTTTGCGTCAAATCAAACGGTCAACCTTTCCGTCTGCACGCCTTCCTGAAAGGGACCACTGTATGCATCTGCCGACTAAAATTTCCGTATGCAACCACCCATCCACAACTCTGTGCGAAAAAGAAAATCAGATAGTAAGCAAAACCCACAACACTTTGAGGTCACAATGATGTCACATAGCAGCCCAGCTGTCCACTCGCTTCTCCTTTTTCATGGTAAAAGCACCTGACCATCACAGACCAAACAACGGAACCTGATCACGTAAGAAACCAAGACGAGGAGCATGACACTATAAAAGCCCGCTGCCGTTACTATGACATCAGCACTCTCCAATGTGCGCTCGTCAGGGGATGGAAGCCAGGAATTTGATCAGGTTGCGCGAACCTAAAGGCATGACACGAGCACGAAACGACTCGCTAACTATCCGCTGACTCCACCCTAAAGCCCACCAAAATTATCCCCACGGCTTTTCGCTGGCCCCACAACCAAGCACTCTCTCTGGCTCGTATCAATGAAGGGGGTTTCGAAACATGACGAAAGTATACATCCTTCCTGATCTCGCTGTTCTTGTCATGACGTCGGTGAAGCTGTGGCCAGGGTCACAAACCGCCACTCCAATGCCGAAAAGTATGCTCCGCACCGTCCGATACCCTGATTCACGAATAGACGGCTCAGATTGCTTCACACGACTCTACCAGGCGCTTGAAGGTCCTCGGTTCAAAAGAGGAGCATGTTAAACCCCTAACAACACATGGGTTAAGGCTAAAATAGCTGTGAAACTATGCTTAACCAGGCCTCCAGAACGTGGTGTTGGGACATCCGCCCAGAGAACTGACCTTGTAACTAACCCTTTCCGGGTCAAGGCTATTCAGGTTTGGGGTTTGGGCGGAATGGCCAGGCTGCTCTCGAAACCGGTTGCATGGAACCGGTTGTTACCGATTTTGCCTGGGGCGGTTTGTGACCCTGGCTGTGGCCACCAGAAAGTGGAAGGTCCCCTAGTGACGTCTCCACGAGGAAAGATGACGTCAGAAGCACTCAGCCGACGCGCTCGTCTCGAGATTAGGTCCAGGATCTGACCCGCACTACCGGAAAACCCGAAAGCCCGACAGACGTCATCCGGAAGGCATAATGTCGTCCCCATGAACCAACCATGACGTTAACATTGATGCAATCTGCGTTGGAACTCGACGAAGGACACCCCAAGACCCGAATCGGACCGCCAGTAATAGCAGAAAGCCAAAGAACGACAAGATGAAGGATCAGGATGGCAGCACGAATTGACGTCACCATATACTCACTTTGCGCTGGTTTCGATGAAGGGCACCCCGAGGCTGGCCGCGAGCTCCTCCCCTTCCTCCGTCGTCACCTGCCGCAAGACATGACACTATAGTTAAGAGTGAGCCTTAGGAAATAGTAAATTTGCCAGCCTGGGACGCAAAGGGTTAGTTTGGGGCTTACGAACGGTCATGGGTGCGGAGCACATGGTCTCATGAGTTGGGATTCTGACGTCAAGTCAAGAGCTTACTGCCGTACCAGCTTTTAAATTTGTCGGTCTGGGTGCCGAAGAAATCCTTATGAAGCAATCAGCCATTTCGGCAAAAAGTTCGGTATTTCCCAAACAATTCGTCAAAATAGCACTCTGCTGAAAGTAACCATAATCAACCTTCAACGCGCAGGTTTCCCCCCCGACCTTTTCGTCATCGAAGAAAAGTATTTTCCAGAATTTTCGGCAGTCCGAATGAAATTGGTTTAATGCCGAAATCAAACACGGTATTGTACTCTAATACCGTCGCAACATACCTGCCGCTCAATCTCGAGGTCGCACTTGTTCCCGATCAGCAGCCGCACCGCTTCTTCCGGCGCAAACTTCTCCATGTCGCCCAGCCACTTGGACACGTGCTCGAAGCTCGTCTGGTCGTTCACCGCGTACACAACGATGATCCCGTTCGCGCCCCTGCGACGAATCTAAAATTGATTTTGCAAGTTCTGTGTTTGCCCAAATTCCGTATTTATTATCGAGAACTTGTTCCATGAGCTCGAAGCTCGTCTGGTCGTTCACGGCGTATACAACGATGATCCTGTTCGCGCCCCTGCAGAAAATGCAACATTCAGAGTCTGCAAGTTCTTTGACTTTCAAAACTTTCGTACCAATTGTGGAAAACTTGATCCACCGTGCTCGAAGCTGATTTTACGGCGTGTGCGACAACAATCCGTTCGCGCCCCCTGCAGAATAATGTGACGCTTGGGGTTTCAGGGCTTTTTCAAGTTGGGGCTTGGTGTTATTCTGGTCGTTTCCTCGGAGGTGGCTTTCTATCTTAGGTGCTCAAATTTGGCCCGGCTTAACGGCGTTTACCAGAAACCGATCCATTCAACCCCCGCTAAAGCGGACACTCAAGAAAACATCGCACATGACTTGGACTTCGAATTTTTCGTTTCGGTTTCTGGGACCAGAATCCTTCAAAACTTCGAAAGTTGCAAGCTGAGGGGATTTTAGGATCGAAGTATTCCCTTGAAGTGGCCCGAAGCTGATACGTTCAAGCACAGCGGATATAACAACGCTTCATATTTCTCTCCTGCAGATTTGACAAATCCGATTTCATCAACCTAGCTGAAATTCTTCGGCAAACTCGAAGACGTATTCGCAGGGTGGTGTAACAGATCAAATCGTATCGACCTGTTGACAAGCCAAGAAATCAATCGCGGTCTGGCCAATCTCGTAAGATGATGTTTGCATGCTAGCCCTCGTGCAATCAGTGACTGGCGAAATTCAAGGCGACTTGCAAGACATTGTTACCGCCCTTCCAGCATTCCGATGGTTACGAAAACCTTGCCCAACGAACTGGGCAGCTCGTGAAGCTTGGCGGGTATACGACCATAATAAATTTGTCATGAATAAGGGGGCCAATCTCTTCCAACCGTAGCATTGCGTCTAGGCTGTTCTATGATTCATAACCGGGCGCTTACCTGTAGTACGGGCTCGTTATTGTTCGAAAGCGCTCCTGGCCTGCCGTGTCCCTGCGGAACGCGGACTAGGGCGGGTTAGCGAAGGGTTAGTGCAGGCTTAAACCCGCAGCGTCGCTTGCTTCGGTTAGGCGCCCAAAGAGTTTGTTTGTAGAAGTTTCAGAGCAGGATAGTGATTGCCGTACAAAACGTCTGGGGTCCAAAGCAGAGCGTAAAGTTGCATCCAAACAGATACGTAGCAAGCGAGTTGAAGCCGGCGGGAAGAACCACTCCGGTCCAAATCAGATGTAAGACATCCTCTTTTGTAGACAGGAAGGTCCGGCTAAACGTAGATACCACGCCGATCCGCGATTGGACACAGAGACGAGTGTTGAGCTCCAAAAACGTTAAGCTACAGAGGAACAAAGGTAAGCGTTACTATGAGCAAGCGGGCCTACCATATTTGCAGCTTCACAACCTGCAGGGAAACACACTTCTCTTATGAGAAGCAAGACTTGGGGAAGAACACGACTGGAAAAGAGAATCGGCCTTGAGCCGAATATTTTGCGCTCTGTTCGTTGCTTACTGACTATCCATCATTAGGACCAAAATGGGCTGCATACACATTTGTGGGCTCTCGATATGTGACCGGTTACATCTCACGGACCGGAGGCGGCCAGACGCTTGCCATCGAAGATCGAAGGAAAACCTGTTCCCGTCAAACTTTCAGGCGCTTGAAATCGTTTGGCCTTTCAAGACGAACGACAGTGTCAACAACCGGGGGTATCCACGCGACCTATGCTTCCTACAGATCGCTTAGCTTTAGGGTATACTATAGGCAGGGACGAAACAACCAATATTCATGGGCCAAGCATTCTCAAAGCCTGAGGCTTGTGACAAAGCGGGGAAAGCATTGAGTACTGGCTACCCACCTCATCATTCTCCATGTGCAACGTGCGTATCCGAAAGTCCATTCCGATTGTTGACATATACGACTCTGCCCAAGGGGTATTAGATAGTGGTCATTTTGTGTCATTCAAGACCAGAACGCTTGGACACAGCAATGTTTACTTAGGCTATATCCTCTACATGAACAAGCAAGACGGAAGACCTCTGACCAGACAGAGAAGCTTTATTGGTCGAGTGTCTTTAAACCATCTCGTTTTTCTCAGCAAGTGCTATAGTGGTACAACAGACCCGTAGGACTTTCTGGAGAAGCGACACCAGGAGCCTTCAGCAGCAGATAGACCGATTCAACTGTGCCCCACATGTGAAGCCCACAAGTAAAGCACTTGTACTGAGTCCAAACAGTGCCTGAGTGCAGCTCTCACAACTATCCTGTGGGTTTCAGCGCTGAACGGTTTCATTTTCTCAGGCTCTGAGCCGACAATGACTGTCAAATACTTCGATACTTCAAAATTGAATCCCTGAAATGGAAATAGCATCTGATGCATGCGTAAACTTTGCCGTCATGTCCAATGTAAGACATAGCTTTGCGGCGATTGCAGACTTCTTTGAAACTAACTCTGCATGCAGATTCCATAAATGTTTGTCGCCTCTGCATATTTGATCATAGTAGAAAGTCAATCAAACGCTCAGGAACTCCGCAATGCAGCTTGTTCACTTACCTCGAAACGTGTCGTCTGCAAAGCGGAGGAGTATGCAAGACTTGCCAACTCCTGCACCACCAAACTTGTGATCACTCAGAGGCAAAAGCCACCTTTTGAAAAGCTCAAACTGTCACTCTGGGTCACCATCACAAACGTATCTAAGAATTATCCACATTCTTTGTCGCTCCAGCTTGACGTACAACGAATGTCTGCGAGCAATTCCAAGATTTCAAAGAGACGGTTGAGATGCTAGTACTATTGAGGAGCATGTAGAACGGTACGCGGCTCAAGGGATCCATTCCGAAAGTCGTTGCTCACCTGCGTCTCCAATCAACAGCAGCTTGAACACATTGTAGCCCCGGCCGTTGGCAGTCCCCTGATTGGCCATTTTACCGTGACAAACAAGCTTCTATCGAGCAAGGATAGCACCCGAAACGGTTTCAGAAAAGGGGTCTGTAAGAGAAGGGCAGTTCAAAGCTGACTCTGCATGGCGTAGGTTGACGAAACCGTTTTTAACTTGCTCAATTGCCTTGGCAGCATTGATGTGGTTGGATTCTGTCAGCCGCAGGGCTTTCTACAATCAGATGCTTCAAGGATCAACGATACAAATGTTCAGAACCCGAAGAGAAGCTTGCCAAAGAAGGCGCCTCCAATTCGCAGAAGTGTGAACTATTTCGTCATGTCTCAAGGTGCGAGACTTTTTAGGGTATTGTTTCACAAAATGCAAACTGGCGGAACTGGCGGCCCTCCTTTCAAATCTTAGCCGCCAGAAACTTCGACGTCTGATAGCCGGCGGGTTGCCGGTCTACTGTACAACCCGCAGCACAAAATCCGGGGGCACCAACAGTTGAATGGCATTATCTCAACGGTCCAGGATGCATGTCTGTGCCGAAAGGCTCAACGACGGCGTCGATTGAGCGCCGCGGGTGTGCCTGCCGGCAAGAACCGGCAAAGTGACGGAAGCCAGGAAAATGTGCCGTAGAGGAATGTTGGGCCGGAGCCCCCTGCTGGATATTGGGCCTTCAACCAGTGCCGAGCGGCCCTCTTACGTAGCCCGGCGGTTGAGACGGTTAGGGAAAACGACGTAATTCAGACCACGTAAGCGGGCAGAAGGTTTTGGACTTACGTGGCCGGACCTGTGCGACCGGGGGAAGTCCTTTTCAAACCAATAAGGGCCTGCTATCGACTGAATGACCGACCGGTTGTCCCAATGGCCTATAAATACCGCGCTACGGACCTGGTCGCCATAACCCCCAGAAGTCCCGACCTCCGAAAGCTCTCCAGGATCCAACCATGCAAGCTCATGATGTAGCCCAGTTGGAGCTCCGACACCAGCAGTGCAAGTCCGCCGGTGCCTGTGGCACAAGCACAGCACACCAAAGGAGCGAGCCGGTGCCACCACCAGCGGCTGGCACCACTTCTACAGCTCACTTGCAGTTCTTTCACCCTGCAACTCTGAGGGCAATCAGCAGGGGAGAGCTTGTATTAGATCCGAGTTTCCTGTCACCCGAGTCTTTGGCCTCCAAGTGCGCACTTTGCAAGCAGAGTCTCATAAAGCCCAATGCCAATGGCTGCGTGCTGGACTTTCGAAAAGGCCAGGAGCTCAAGGGCTCGGGGTGGCAACTCCAACTTTAAAACAGATGTTGTTTTAAATTCGCCTTTCTTAAAAACCGATTGAAAACAAAGGCGATCGGCGTTTTGTTTCATATCATTGGATAGCCCTTTGTCTGTAGTTCCCAATACACTACTCGTTTTTAAATTTGGCCCTCCCCACGGAAAGTAAAACGCTTTTATCTCATTTTAAAACGCCGATGTTTTACTACATGTATCTGCGGGTTAGGCGGACCCAAAAATAGCCCGTTTTATAAATTAAATAAAACAGTAAAACGTTTTAAAACGCTTGCAATCCATATTAAAACAGGTCAGATCAATGTTTCAAGGCCCTTATACCCTATTTTGGCCTTGTAATATACTCGGGCCTACTTCCATGATACACACGAAGTTGCAAATAGTCGATAGCCGCTATAAAAACAAGGAAAATCGTACAATATCAACCTTTTCCACGGTTTTAAAACAGTATTAAAACGTTTTAAAAAGGCGTTTTAAGTTTGCAAAACAGCCTAACCTCTTGTTTTAATCCGCACATACCATGTTTTAAAACTGGGAGTTGCCACCCCGGGCTCAAGGGTTTTGCAGTGTCCGATCCAAGCTCAAGGGTGAAAGGCCAGAGAAAAGAGCAGCCCGTGTGTCTGGAGTGTGTGAAGAACCTTGTTGGAACTATTTCTACCACCAGCACTGCAGTGACTGTTGAGACGAGAGGGTCGGTGGGTGCAGCAGAGGTGTGGTTTGAGCGCTCAGCACCAGCGGAGTCATGGCGGCAGGTGAAAGTGTTGCTGAGCGAGGACGTTGTTGCACTGCAAGCCAAGGGGGAGGAGGCGCGACTTGCGGCTGGGGGCCACCGCGCAAGCACTGCAGCAGAAGCAGCGCTGAACAGAGGGCGCAGAGTTGGAGAGGTAGCACGGAAGCCGCCAGCAGCGGTGAGGCCCCTCCCACTGCCAGAACTGCGAACTGCTGCTTCTTGTCTTCTTGTGATTGAGTGCAAATTGGAGACGCATTGCCACTGACTTCTGAGCTGGGCTGATTCATTAAATGCAAGGCTCCAGAATGGGAGGCAGATTGGAGACAGAGGAATCAAAGCCCTGCAGCAATCCTGCTGGTGGATTGCGCCTCATCAAGTAGTTGACTGAACAATGCGCCTTGTGCAGAGTCCTCCTTGCGCTTCGCCAACAGAGACGCGCGACGCAGAAGGCCGGCTGACAGTCGCTGCTCAAGCCGCTAAGTTCCTCGCCGGCATCAAGGCTGGACACTGCGTCCTCTACACTGTCGGCGAGGAGGACTCCGCCAGCTCTGTCTACCTGGCGACAACTTGGGACCACAACGCCGCACGGCTCAAACCTCTTGGCCGGCCCAGCAAGGTGCGCGCGCTCTTAGAGACGGTCCACTGGGACACCTCAGGAGCCGCAAGCTGCACCTGCGATCGGGGGCGGCTCTTCTTTGGAGCCCCTTGCGTTCACAAGCTCGCGCTACAAGCGCTGGAAGGGCCAAGGCAAGCGAGCCACATCTCTCTGCAGAGGGGCGCCAGGGTGGTTGAGGCACCTTGTAGACCTGGAGAGCGTGTGTTTGGTGTCTACTGGAACGCAGCGTCCCCCTCGCCGCACAGGACGATGGTTCACTTCGGCGCCAGCGAGCGGTTTCCCTGGTACTGCGAGGGGAGGCAAGGCGGTTGCTCAAAGACAGCTGACTGCAGCCACATCCTAGAGGTGAAGAGCGCTCTGCAGCGACCAGAAGGCGTTCCAAGGCTTAGCGGATGTCTATTTTCAGAGGAGCAGCTAGAGCGGGCCCTTGTTTCCGTTCATCGGGGGGGAGGCGTTGTACGAATTGAGGCAGGCGGCGCAGCAGCGCGTGGCACCCGTGAGAGGTGCGCGGCTGGTGCACAAGGTCCGGCTGGAGACGAGGGCTCCCCCTCAGTGGATGCTTCTGCAGAGCTAGAAGCGAATCTCCTCGAGCTAGTCATTGGCGGCCACCACGAGGCGACCTGCAAGGGGGAAAGCTGCTTCTGCAAGCAGCATCCTACGCTGTTTGGCGGCGTCGATCTGGGCGGCGAGGCGTGTGCGTCCAGATGCTGTAGCTCTGCGTCTGCAAGCGGGAAGCGGGCTCGATCGGAGCAAGTGGACGGAGGTGCAGCTGTTGAGGCGAAGCGAGGGGTGAAGCGGAGGGGCAAACACTTCTGGGCCGCCAGGGGACATGATGCAGCAGAGCCGATGGCGGCAGGCGACGCGCGCAGCTGCGAGGACTCAGAGGTCGAGGGCTGCAGTGGCGTCGGCGTGGGAAGGCGTGGCGAGGTCATGGTCCCTGTTTGCACGAGCTGCGCTTGTCCTTCAAGGGTTTGCAAACATGGCGTGTCAGGGCGCGTTGCGGTGGTGCTTCCTATGGAGGCAGAGGGGGTCCAGGTCGAGATCCCAAAGCTGGTGCGCCTTGTAGACAGCTGGGATGTGCATGACCCTGAGGTCACCCTGTTGCGCGAACCTGTGAGGGTCAGTGAGCTTGCAGCGCGGGACTTCGCGGAGCTCAGCGCCATGGAGTGCCTGTCAGCCCCCTGCCCCAGAGCGCCTCCCCCCTGCAACACCGAATGAATGGGGCTCTGGCAAACTGCGCACATCTACTCACTGCAGTGGTCGCAAGAGGTGAGACCGCCTGGACATCCAGGCGTTACGTGGCATTTGCGCATGGATCGCTGGAAAACTTGCAGGCGCTGCAAAGAAACTGAAGCCTGCTTGAATTGTACCTACTTGAATTGTTGTCGGGGCACGTGCCCACTTGAGGGCATCGGCGGCTGGCCGTCTGGTTTCTGTCATCTCTTCATATGTATCTCTCATGCAAAACCTAGACAGCGCAGAATGGAAGCTTAGAGTCTCTTCCACACCCATCAGGATTGCCTTTTCCTTCATGGAATAGTTGCCAAAAGCTCTGATTCCCTTGCCCGCCAAAAAGGCACGTGCCCACTTGTGGTCATCAGCGGATGGCTGTCTAGTTTCTGCCACTTCTTTATATATATCTCAAATGCAAAAGCTAGACAGCGAAGCTTCGGAAGTTTGGAAGCCCCCTGCCATGTCTGGTCTGCCTTTTCCAACAAGGCTTATTCTCCGCTGCAGGTGAAGGTCTGCATCTATTCATGCGGCTGCCCTGAAAAACATACACTCCACTTCAATGGAGAAGCCCTTGGCCTCTTTGCCTGGACCAGTTCGGTCATCGTCACCCAAGCGTCGTGCCAGCTTCTGCTGCGGTCCGTCCAAGAGTCTGGCTCGGCTTCCAACGGCTTCATATCAGCGTGTGCGGAAGTCCGGCGGCAGTACAAACCAAGTGCGGTGCTCCTCTCGGAAGAGACCTGGCGCAAGGCGAGCCTGGGCTTCTTCAGGCTGTGCGGACGGTCCATCCTCGAATGCTGCAGCATCTGCGGGCTGCATCCAAAGGTCAGTGCCCTTGCTCAAAGGCACCGCTTGGTGCGGAGATACTGAGCGCTGAGCTCTGCAGAGTCTTTGCAGAGGAGGGAGACCCCATCGAGAGGGCGTGTCCCTGTTTCCAATTTGAAGGCCCCCGTCAGCGCGTCGCTAGGATCACCAGTGCATGAGGTCTCATGACCATCAGCAACCTCCCGCAAGGGTGAAAGACTGCTCGAAAAGTGAGATTTTGTTGCACTCATCACTTGTAGCGCGCTGGTCCGATCCACTCTCTTGGTCTTGACAGGTACTTCTGTGTGACGGCATCGCTGGCTTGGCTTGCGCTGACGGTGGGCGGCAGAAGGGGGGTTTGTCAGGGACCAAAGCAGCAGCCGTGCGCCCGTTCACAGCGCCGAGCCAGGACTCTGCTGGGGTCAACGTGGAGAAGACCATGGAGGCGGGCATCAACTTCTGCGCTGCGTCTCTCGAGGGACGGGGGATGAAGCGGCGTCTTCTGATCCAGCCTGAGCTGCGGACGCTGCTTGCGCGTTTCAGTGGGCGTCATCCGAGAGATCCTGAACTTGGGAAGTCCCTGGCTCCAATCGAGTACCAAGAGCTCCTGGTAAGTGGTCGGTACATGGCCAGAGCGGCATCCTTGTTTCTCACTGCCGCCTCCTCTGTCCAGGTTTTGCATCAGACTTTCATATATACATCTGACAAAAGCTAGACAGGAATCTGTCACTACCTGACCACACAAGTGCACTTTGTGACGCGCATCTATGATAAGTCAGAAGTCGCCTGATCTTCTTTAGAGATGCGAGCGAGATCTGACTCTGTTGCACGAAGCGCTGACGTGGCACATCAGTCAGAAGTTGCCTGAATTCTTATGTACAAATGAAGCAACTTTTAATTCACGTTGCGCTGGGTGCTGACGGTTCCTTGTGTCTCATGCAGGTTGCGCTCGAGCGGGCTGACGTCGAAGCAGTGAGCCACTTCGTGCCCGACCCAGATGATGCTGATGCAGACCCCGTTCTTCTTCACTGGAGGCGGCGCATCCTGATGGAGCAGACCGGCCAGATTCGCTCAAAGAACCAATCCATGTTCGAGCTCCTTGATGGAATCGAGAGGGAGGCGCTGCGTGAGAATCCGCGCTGGCCCCCGCTCTGCCCCGGCAAGTGGTCGGAGCTCCTCTACGGGCTGGGCGCCCCTCTCTCCGTCTCGGACGACTCGAACCTCATTCAGCACGGACGGGCGCTGGCCGTCGTGCGAAAGCTCCTCCTCGGTGGCGCTGCAACCGGCGAAGACAAAGCCACCTTGGCTGAGCATGCGCCGGTTTTGCGGCGGCTGCTCGACCACTACGGCGACGTCTTCCCAGACTTCTTCATGCCCGCTCTGCACCACCTCTATCGCCTCACTCTATTCGGTCGGGGGGCGTGCGGCCTGGGTGTGGATCGAGCAGGGTGGGCGCTCTCGGCCATCGAAGGGCTAGACCACTGCGTGAGCCTGGCTCGAGATTTCCGCACGCAGGGAGTCCCTCCGGACGCTCAGCAGCTGGATCCGTTTCGCTTCTGGGAGGCACGTGCCAGCGAGCTGCTGCCCGGGGTCGAAAGCCTAACTCCGCCAGCTCCGCAGCAGTACCCTCTTTTCCAGGCGAAGCTCTACCTTCTGCGCGAGAGATTGGGGCTCGAGGCCGACGGCGCTGAACCCCATGCCCTTTCCCCCGACCATCCCTTCTGTAAAGAGCAACGCGAGCTGGGCTGCTACCCCCTGCCGGGCTGGGAGCAGAAGCGGCCTCTCCCCCAGTACAAGCCGTTCGAGGATGCGCTTGGAAGGTCGATTGATCGGCAGGAAGTACATCGCTGCCGGAGCGAGCTCACAGTGGGCCAGTTCGACGCTGAGATCAATACCAAGAGCAGTGTGAAGACCGCGAAGCGACTGCAGCAGCACACCAAGGGCGGGTTCGTGTTCTGCTGCCCTCACAGAGTCATCTACGGGTTCCATGTCATGTTGCGGGGCGAGTCCCCTCATGACCCGTTCACCGTGCTCTACACGCGCCTCCACCGACGGCACCTCCTGGACTACCTCTTCTACGACAACGCCTGCAAGCTCCAGGCTTACTGCATGAGGCGCGAGCCCGCGTTCTTTGCGGATGTCCGCTTCCTTGTGGACCGGTGAGCGAAACCTTGTGCTGCCCTTCCATCCTACATCCAAATGCAAGTGCTCTGAGGCAGGATGCTTAAAGTCCGGCAAAATAATCAGGGCAGCTAGGCATCAATTGTTTGCCACATGATGTGTAAGAGTGCAAGGGCTGGAGTCTACGTGGGCATAGAATTGCGTCCATCCCAGTCCGAGCACGTGCAGGCGGAGCTAAAGATCTTGCTCGCGGCCTTGGGTGCCTCTTCCGACAATAATCACAAAAGCGTGGAGATAGTCCAGCTAAAGTCTGCTGTCCCAGCCTCAGAAGTTGAACCGGCAGCTGAGGAAGTCATTGTGAGAGTAGCGACAACAGCAGGCTTGCAGAAGCAGAAAAAAACACTGACCTCGTCTTGGAGAGCGATCTCTTTGAGGAGTTTCGCGGCTCTCGCATCACAAGACTGGGGGCATACCTCCCATGATCAGCGTACTCAATCTCATTGCAGTGGTCACTGGGGCGGTGAATCCCAAGAGCATCTGGCAGGATTTGGCAAAAACGGTTGTCAGAAGCAGACGTAGGTTTCAGCTATGATAGCTACAAGTTCCCTGGACGGCAGATCGAGGGGGCTGAGAACTTTTGGGTAGGAGGTCCGAGGAAAGAATCTCGAAAGCATTGCCACGGACCATAGACGCATACAGCTTCAAACGGCAGCTGGACACTTCAATTCTTCCATTGCCCTGCAGGTTCCACTTCCAACGAACTGATGCCGAGGCGCACAAGTGTGGGCCAGGGTTTAATCCGGGTGAGTACCTGGGCAAGCGGAAGTCAAATCTTGCGAGATGAGTGGCTTGGGGCAACTTGATTGTGTTCAGCATACCTTGCTTTCAATCCACTTGTCAACCTTGCTCTTCTTTCCTTCCCACAGACTTGTATGATGCTGTGCGCTTTGTCAACTCCTCCGCTGTTGAGAGCTGCAACTCGTTCCTGGTCAAATTCAAGGTGCTAGCTTGGTTCTCTAGCCTAGATGCGTTCTTGGTCATTCTAGCTAACGTCGTTAGCGGGCGAAATTCGAAGCTAAGGAGAGTCGATGACCCTAAGCTACGGATAGCTGGAAGAGCAGACACGTGGACTCCGGCAGTACGGGATTGCCTCTTAAGTTATTGACGTTGCTTGAATGTAGATCTGACCGTAAATAGCAATTACCTTGAACAATTAGCCCGCACTCTTCGATCAATACACGCGGTCATTCTCACGGCACTTCAATCAATTACAGGCGTTGCGTATTGAGTTGCGTAGCACACATGTATTGTGGAAGCTAGCTCATGCAACACGTGATGAAGAAGAGTGAGTGATCTGCTCCCGATCTGCAAATGCCGTTGGCAGCCTAAAAGTCCAAAAGAGCTCGAATGCAGATCTTTTTTCTTATAAGATATAGGTGCCTAAGGTAGCATAGAAAAATCCTGGAAAGAAAAAGAATTGAGAAATAAGACTTATAGACTTATGGTCTGCAATGGTTAGTGGTAGACGAAGGAGATTTGCAAGGCAACC